GGTAAAGATATTCAAATTGAAGAGGTAAGTAACTTATAAACCCAATCCTCCTTCCTTCTTCGGTGATTTACAACAGTTAATAAAAAAGATAACTTGTAAAAAAACTCAAGCTAAATAGCTCATGTTTCTATCTTATATTAGGAATCAAATGTAGCACTATCACAAGAGCAGAGCAGCACAGAGAAAACAGCTAATGAAGTGTCTGACGAGCAGATTCCAGGAGAAGTAGATATGGCTGAGAGCAGTAGGAAACCAGCTTCAACTGGCACTTAAATTGCTATGCTAGAGAAGCTGGATAAAGTGGCAGAAACCTTTACGAAAGGTGAAGTAAGAGATCCGGAACCTGAAAATGCCAAAGAGACAACTTTCACTAATGCTGGCACAAGGTTGTAGTTAATCAACTGATAATAGAGAAATATAAATATAAATATACCGTACAGAAAATAAGTAGCACTTTTATCAAACATCAACTTTTCAAGTAGAATCAAATCCTTGATTGTAATTAGTGATAACATGTAAACTGAAGGCCCCGTGCTCAAGTTAGAGCTCTTTCAGAGCTATATTTTTGTCCCAATAGTTTGCCTCTTGCTTTCAGCGTTAGATTAATAAATTAAAACAGTAAAAGGGAATAAAAATTTCACACAAAATCAGAACATGTTCTACGTTACGAAATGGTGGACAAAGGAAGAACTAATGGTGTACAACCCACTCCACATGTTCTCAACTAGAAAGCTGACACGCACAAGCAAATACCAAACCCACCTTTTTTGCTTAAACAAATCATTTATTTATTCCTACACTTAATACGTAGCTTTTCCAGAACCTTTTACAGGAAATACTTCAGTAAGACACCATCAAGAAGATAGCTCAAAAGCAGCGCTAGTTATGCACCTATACAATAATTTTAAAATACTCCATATTTAAAGAATTAAACCCTTAAATACCAGCAATCATGCTTACAATACAATTTTAGGCTGAGAAAGGGAAAAAGCAACAAAACCTTGAGCCCCGTGAACAACATCAAACATTCAAAGAGGAAAGTTGAGCTTCTCTAGAAACAAAAGAAAAGCAAAAAATTTCTAAAATTTTTAAGATACAAGTAGCTCACAGATGCGTTATCCAAAATTTCTAAGATACAATGTCCACATTGTAACATATTTCAAAACCTATAACTTCATTCCTCATATTAATAGAAAGCACAAAATTTTAAGAGTGTTAGTAATTTTAAGAGTAAAACTCAAAATCTTGCATGTAACTTCAAAATGAATTTTTGCAAGCAGTGTTGCTTCAGTTTTAAAATGCTACTTATGAATTCTTCAAAATAAATCCTACCATGAGTCTATCAAGAGGATGCTTGTGATGCAGCGCTAAGTTCCTGCTAAATGCACTTTGCGTATCCACACTTAAAAAATAAATGTTAATTTGTTTTTGGGTCACACTTACATAAAATGCAAGTGTCATCAACATTTTGTGTCCACTATTTCTGTCTAACCTTGGTTGTGAGTCTATTAAGGGTAGCTAACAAATTTATGAAATTGTACTTAGGTATTGCATAAGAGTACCAAAGGTTACTTTCCCTGTTTTTCTCTAATCCAATGCCAAGTAAGATACCAAATGTATAAGGTGTCCAGCCTACAAAATCTTTCTCTAACAACCTGAATTTCAACTAACTGTGGTGACCTAACATGAAGCCAACAACAGTAGTTGTCATTCACTACTACAAAAAGTTTTGCATGAAATGGGAGACCTGCATCTCTAATAATCCTTTGCCCATAGACTTCCGAAAGTGGCCCAGATGGAACTATTTCCTTCTTTTATGAGCACCATTTTTAACTTTATGATTTATAAAACATAACAAGATAACAAAGCAAATGACTTGGCAGAATTCATGTACAGAGATTGTTTGTAAATAAGAGTGTTTTAATGCATGTTAGTATCATGTTAGGAATGGTGAAAAAGAGACATGAAACCCAATTCACACAAACCCAATTCAAATTAAAGCTCAACCAACATTTCACACAAACCCAATTCAAATTAAAGCTCAACCAAACCCTAGAAAGCCAAAGCAGCAAAATTAAGCTTCAGAATCAGCTCAAACAAACTAGCAAACCTTAAAACTGAAACCAAAAAAACAAAACCAATCACGATAGGAAGTAGTCAAGGCGGACGAGATTCTTTGGTAAGAAACGAAATCAAGGGATTCTGACCCAAATACAGAATAAAATAGAGCTAATCTAGGAGGTAGTCATATGCAAATCAATAAAAATTTGAGGAAGGAAGAGGAATTACCTGAGGCGCTGATCTATCGAGAGAGATGATGAAAAGTCTGGTAGATGCGCTTGAGTGGCCGATGACGCGAAGGTGAGAGAGCAGCGAGAGCAGCGGCAGAGTTAGGGCGGACGGTGAAGGCTCATCGCCGTCGGTGAGAAAAGAGTGCAGACCAAATTCAATTCAAAATTGAAATTCGAGGGTTTTAGGGTGAAATTGAAATGCACGGAATTTACTCATGAGAAATACTCAGTTAAAATACATGTATTTCATCTAAATTCAATTACATTTTATTTAGGTAAAAACAAACAGTGAAATTGAATTTCAACACTCCAAATTCAAATACACACTGCCAAATTCAAGTTACCAAACAGAGCATTAAATCCCAGTTGTTGAACTTAAGTTTGATCCGTTTTTACCCGTTCCAGTCAATGGATTGTGTTTATGGGTTGGGTTAATCCAACCCGGGAATTATGAACCGGAATCAAAAAGAAAAGAATCTTAATGAAAAGAATCTTGATTAAAATAATAAATATAAATATAATCCGATTTAATTTGGTATAAAAATAAAAATTAATTTGCTCTTAATTAATCTTAATTAAAATAATTAATTGATTTTTTTCTCAGGTAACAACTTTGGGGTGTGAGATTTAAAACTCAGTTCTTAGATTGGGGTACACCTGTGCACCTACAATATCATTTATAGTCATCGGCCAAAATGCCAAGTGCAAAATATTTAAATTTATCTATCATTTTAATTAAAGGTTAATTAATTATTCAATTAATTTTAATTAATTTCTAATCAATTAAACTTAATTATGCTTAATTTGAGTGATCACGTTAAAAAATATAAAAGGTGAATCATCTTTGTTTTAATGTTAATTTTGTCCAAAACTTTATATAATTAAGCAATTACGTCCAAAACTTTTATATCTTTCAAATCAGTTTTCCATGTTTTCAATTTAATCAAATTGGGTCCTCAACTTTTTATTTTTGTTTGCAATCGTGTATGCATGTTTTTGATTTTGTTCAATTCAGTCCAAGTATTTTCAATCTTTGCAATTTCATTCATTTACTTTTTAAAGTTCACTTAACCAAAATTAAAAAAAAAAAGAAATTGAATAAATTCCCAAATGTTAAAGTATATAATTGTATTTTACATGAAAGATTATGAAGTGTGCGTATGGTATTTCTCACTTCTAATAGTACTTTTGAATCCCAATTTTTGCACATATCATATTTTAAGTGACTTGCTCCATTTTAAAATTTGGACAAATGACAAGTCCTTTCTTTTTTATTTTTCACACCCAATTTTCCATTATATGCTCATATATATATATATACATATATTATTTTTGAAAATTTTAGGTGATTGCCAACAATAACCTCCTTAAAGAATCAAATCTTGATTAATAATGTAAAGAATAAACTCCATTATTAATTAAACCACAAGGCTTATAACTCTTTGGGTGACTACATAGTATATTAACTAAGGTCCGATTATTTTCATGAAGTTTAAATCACCATTTTGGTCTCTAAACTTTTAGTTTTGGACTAAGTTGATCCTTAAAATATACTAAAATGATCCTTAAACTTCAACTATGTGGTACCAAATTTGTTATTCTATCAACACAATTGTCAAGTATCATGTTAACATGCCAAGAGTTCAAACCTTTTTAATTTAAATAATGATAGATGAAGATGATCATTAAAAACAATCATTAAAACTATCATTAAAAACTCATTAAATAAGTGTGAGTTTTTTACAGGTTAACGTGACACTAAGCAATTTTGTTGAGAGAAGGATGGAATCAATATTGGAAAATTGAAGTTTAAGGATCATTTTAACATTTTTTGAAGTTTAAGAACCATTTTTAGTCAAAAACGAAAAGTTTAACAACCAACATGGTGATCAAGTCCTCTACAAAAGAGCTCCAATCAAACATACTGAAATATTCATTTGTGCCCCCCCTAATAATATAGGAACGGCTTCTTAAGCTCAATAACAACGGGCATTCCGTCGATTAGAACTGGTGAACCTTGAAGAAGCCTCTGTTCTGAAGTGGGATGCTCATAGAACACATTAACTTCTTTGCGGTGCTGTAGAGTTTTACGTTTGATTCGCATCTGTAGTATAAATCCAAACCGTCCAAAAGACCGATAAAGCTCCACAATATGGATGTCCAGAGGAACAGTACAATAAGGAACAGATTTTCCCGAAGGCAAAGCTCTGGGTGTAATTGGTGCTGGTGGACGATGAGCAATGCTTGGCATCATCTGCCCTTTCAGGGCAGCTTCTAGATAACTTCTTTGAGAGTTTCTATGCATTGTCACTGCAAGAAATAAGTTCAAAGTCTAAATCTAATGAAAGTCATCAAAAAATCAAGAAAATTGCTTACTCTGTTCAATCTAATTAAAAAAATCTTTTAAATTAATATTAACACTAATAATCTAATAAATAATAATCATTTTATAGTGTTTAATTTTATTTTATACTTAAAAATTAAAATTAAAAATATGATTAATCAAAATTTTAATTTTAATAAAATTAATTAACTTTACTCAGATCATCTCAGGTTAACCTAAGTTAATTCCGATCTAACTCAATTGGGTTTGGATAATTTTAATTTGAGTTATATCTAATTCCAGATTAATACTTTAAAGATTTAAACCCATGACCCTTCTAATAGTAAATGAATTTGGGTTAGATTGGATTTTCGGATTAAATCCAATTTTACCAAGTTTAATAAAAGTAGAAAACTATGTTTATGACACAGTAATAGTCATGATGGCAAGGAATTGCCACGATGCTAACATGGCAATAAATAACAAAATTTTAATGAGCACACAACGTTGTCATTTATTTTAGGTTTTTATATTTTGATTGAAAAGATGAGAAGTTAAAACTTTTATGTTATAAGTTGAAGGGCTAATACTCTCATAATCAGTAAGGTGAAAGGCTAGCCATAGATAAATCACAGGGCACGTCAATGGGATCAGGATGTGGTTTTTCACGCACAAGGCCACAAGAAATTTAGATTTTTTTTAAAAAAAAATAGTTATTTTGTTTAAAAATAATAAATTGTAAATTAATTTTAATTTATTACTCTTAATTACTAAATAAATATTAATTATTTTATTAATTATTAATTACTCTCTCTATTTTAAAATAGTTTTTTTTAAAATTTAGTGACAATTTAAGTATTTACCTATATTATCCTTTAAAAAGGTAAAAAAGTAAAAAATAAAAAGAAACTTTTTATAATAGAATAATTAATTAAAATAAATACATAATGACATGATTAAAATAAAAGAAATTTGTTTATCTTAAAAAAGATAATTAATTTAAGATAAATTTAAGGTTGCATTTGGAATTGTAATTGGGGGTTGTTTTTTTTTTTTTTTTTGGATAGCTATCCAATACCTTTAAATATATATGTGTTTGGTAATTTTTTTGAAACTAATATTTCTAAAAACTGTAAAAAATTACAATAAATTCTCAACAATTTTATATATAAAGTCAAAAATCTTATTTTAAAATTTTCTCATTGTGGCTTTCATGAACAATATTTAAATATTTAATACAATTAAAAAATTATCCATTAAAACCTATGTTATTTAGTTCAATTGTACCACAATTTATAATATTTTATTTCAACCTAACCTCTTCTTTATTTGAAGATTTCTTAAAAAGTTGAAAACTCATTCAATTCTATAAGTTATTCTCTCCTGAAACTCAAAAGAACACATATAATAAAAAAAACCCCACAAAATCTAAATTATTAATTAATAGTAAATGTTATTTATTTTAGTAATTATACATCATATAATATTTTTTAAATTTTAATTAATAATTAATAAAATTTAACATATATATATGTCATCTACAATATTTTAAAAAAATAAATAATCAAGTACCAAAATAAAAGTAAACTCATGCCGAAGAATAAGAATCGAAAAAGAAAACTCCAGTACCCATTACCTGATGAATTGGGGTGGACAGAGCGCACAGTCTCAAAAGAATCCTTCATGCTGACCCGCTTCCGTTCCCTTCGATATCACAAGCGACAGCTGGAGGGCGCGGGGGCGCGGGGGCGCGGGGGCGCGGAGGCGCGGAGAGAAGAGGTGCCGAAACAGAAGGGGAGGGCGCGGGGGCGCGGGGGCGCGGAGAGAAAAGGTGCCGAAACAGAAGGGGAGGGCGCGGGGGCGCGGAGAGAAGAGGTGCCGAAACAGAAGGGGAGGTAATTTTTTACATACCTCAGCTACCATATGGTAGCTGAACTAACATACCTCAGCTACCATTCCTGAATGGTAGCTGAACTAACATACCTCAGCTACCATTCCCGGAATGGTAGCTGACGCGGAGAGAAGAGGTGCCGAAACAGAAGGGGAGGGCGCGGAAGGCGCGGAGAGAAGAGGTGCCGAAACAGAAGGGGAGGTAATTTTTTCCATACCTCAGCTACCATAGGGAATGGTAGCTGAACTAACATACCTCAGCTACCATTTTACATACCTCAGCTACCATTCCGGGAATGGTAGCTGGAACTAACATACCTCAGCTACCATTCCGGGAATGGTAGCTGAACTAACATTCAGGACTCGTATGACGATTTGAGGAATGCTAGCTGAACTAACATTCAGGACTCGTATGACAGTTTGACGAATGGTAGGAGCACTCGCTCCAGCACTCTCCTTTTGGCAGCCGCTCATCTATTTAGCCACGTTGCTAATGATTTTAATGCTTTAGCTGGAAACAGGTATTTGTAAGTGACTAGCTACAAGACAAAAAGGCTAAAAACTAAAAACTAGAAGTAGGAATTACCAGAAATAAGTTATCTTCACAAGTAAAATAATAATATAAAAATAACAATAA